AAGGGAGCTCTGAGAACAACAGTGAATAAGAAAGACTTATACATGCGATTCCCTTTCAAAGGAGTATACAAAAGTGACCTAATCACCCGGCGCTTGGAAAGAGCAATTACACGCGCATTTCCGGCGGCACGTTTAAGCCTCCAGTTCACCAACCAGCCGACTATTTCCATGACCCTCGAAGATAAATTGCCTATTTCTAACTTTCCCATGATTACCTACTCTGTAACCCAACCACCCACCCCCCCTCCCCCTCGTTATTGTTGTTGTTAATATTCTTATGGCGTTGGCACCATGCTTGTTCTCAATCAGGTGTTTATATATATATATATATATATATATATATATTTACCTACTCACTTGTTTGCTCATGTTCGGCAAGCTACATAGGTAGAATAATCAGGCAGCTTTCCCAGAGGATCAAGGAACACACCAACCTGGTTGACTACTGGGGATAGAAAAAACATCAATTGTCATTGTGGAACACCTCGCAAATACAGGAAATACTGTGAGCGATGACGCCTTCAAGGTGATTTACCGGGTGCCTCCTTATCCATCTAAGACTGTGCATCAACAACCCTTAGCAACAACTGAGGTAGTAGCCATCCGTCTGTTTAACCCATCGCTGTGTTCCCGAAGGCCATTCGTTAAAGCACTGCAACTGCCATAGTCACGGAGTAAGCGGAGTGAATTCAGTCGCATGACTGGAGCTGACTCTTTCTATGACCCCCTGAGCTTTTTGATTGAGCCCGTGCCCAAAATAGGTGATGGTTAACCTTGACACATCATCATCATCATTGTACAGCGTAATACAGTGAAGTGAACTTCACGGATCGCTGCCAAACTCATATTGCATACACGGTAAGCGATAATGTGCAAGAACGACAGGGATTGGATCTACTTTTAGGGACGGGAAATGAAAGCGAACCTCTATGGTCAACACACACAGCACATAGTCCAACTGTGCATACATACTATTTCAAACATTCTGGTCCGAAAAGAAGTGACAACATGATCGTCATTGCTGTCTGTTCGCAGCCATGATCTTCAGTATCTCCAACCATGCGGTTTCGGAATCTTTTGGACCCCAATCCGGAAGATGAGAGACACCTACTCTACCTAATCGCCCTGTGTATTTCTTTATGCCTTGTCTCCACGTCATCCGCTGGCCTCCACGTGGTTTTCTCCAGCCTGTAACAGCCACTGCTAACAAGATGCGCTGCGGTAGGCGACCGTCGGACATACGCAAGCCGTGTCCTAACCAACGGAACCCACTGAGCTGAATTCGATGCGATGGCGAGTTCTTCTTTGATGTATTTCCAAACACTCGACGACTTACTTCTAAGTTACTAACCCGCTCACTCCATACAACCTGGGCCAGACTACGTAAGCATCGATTGTCGAACACTGCTAAACGACGGGTGTCTTCTACCCGCAAATTCAAGGTCTCACAACCGTAAAGTAGAACTGATCGTACGATGGCGCAGTATATGCGACTTTTTAACGTAAGTGAAACGTCACGTTGCCGCTAGAGGTGTTTAGGTCCTGAGTACGCTGCTTGAGCCTTGGAAATGCGGGTGGTTATCTCCTTCGATGCGCTGCCGTCGTTCGTCACGCAGCTCCCTAAGTACGAGAAGCAGTCAACTTCAGCTAATTCCTGACCGTCTAGTTTCAGAACAGAACTCGGCGACACCCAGTCTTGTAGAATCACTTTGCACTCCAAATCGCACAGCTTTTTCTCCAACTACCTATTCAATAACTTGGCACATCCCCATTCCCATCCACCCACCGCTCCGTTTTTTTAGTAAACCATACACAAACAACTAATGATATCTAACAATCGATTTCAGACAAACGTCACACGTTATACAAATGTGATATGCCTATTACCTATTTATATAACTGTACTAGCCAGATGAGGAAGTTCATCGAAAACGAGCTTGTTCGCTATTTCGTATTTTTTTTTCTCAAAGATCCATAACTTGATGGGTAACTGTTACAAAGAGACGAACAGAAACACACTTCCATTCGGCAAATTCAGTCCGATTGTGGGATGGTCAGTGTATGACCAATTGTACTTGAAAGGCAGCAGCGGCCACGACCTCTGTTGACAGACAAGCAGTTTCTCTTTAAGTAGGTAGACACCTGTATTAGCCAAAGGAAGAAGGTAACAAAAACAAGTTTGACCGCGACTCATACTGCTCGGTCAAGGTGGCATTGGGAATCTTTAGTGCAATGCATTTTCGTCTGGATACCCACGGTCCCGTTGTCTTTCAGGTGAACATCCCACTGACCAAGGGTGAGAATCAGAATCGCTCATTAAACATCGAAGAGAAATCGTTTGACATAATACGAAGTCTGTCGCACAACAAAACAGCTTGCGCGGATCAAGCACAATAGGTTTAATGTCCTCTGCTTGGGTTGATTTATTCCTTCAGAACAAATAAAGAACATTGTCGATTCACAACCATTGTGACCGATGGCTACGAGCGTTCTCTACACATCTTGATATTGTCAGTAAACTTCATGAGTTTAGCAATATATACTTTGTCTCGAGCCTTCTATACGTGCATCAGTGATGGAATTCCAACAAGCAGTACTCACTTACCATAGATGAAAAAGAGTCGGGAATACCGATTTGTGGAGTGGACTGTTGCAAAGCTTCCATAATGTGTTCCGTGAGGGACCGCGTACCCTGCCCAATGCGAATTGATCGATTCTCAACTGTGAGGGCAGTCTGATCCGACGGAACTTGCACTGAAGAAACGACAAGGAAAATGATTCCTGTATCTCACAATAACGGCAAGATGAGTAGAAATGAAGCCAAGCACAATTACCACACATGTTAACTGAGAACAGTGAAATAAGTGACCCGGTGAAAAACACTCTCACCCCCCCCCGAGAGATTTACGCTACAAATTGTTTACACCTCACAGGGGGACCGCAAGAGTAGCAACTGCTTTACTGCCACACAAATAGTAAGAGCATATTATTTTGTCCATATCCACTGTACCACAAACCATCGGAGGGAATATTTTGATTCTTCTTTACTGAGACTGACTCCTTGGACAGAAGGAGCGAAATGAAGAATTTTAATGGGGGTTTAGTACCAGTTGTCTGCAGCGAAAACTGACTTTATCGAGTCTTTGCAAGTGTAAATTGAAAAACTGTGCTTTAGTGGATGTAAATACAAGCCCTGTGTCCAGATATCAATTTGCTTCAGAAAGGTTAGAGCAATCAATAGTCTTCGGTCACTTGCTCCATGGGACCTGTTTTCGCAAGCCGTACGCCATCTCATCGAGATTAGTAGACCCCATTTCCCCTTAAAATGGCATAACTCGCCTGTAAAGCAGTATGCTGCAGTGTGTCCGCTGATGATCCTAGTAGCCGATGGAGACTATTAGTTCATGTGTGATTGCTGGACGAATAAAAAGCGTACCTAGGTGAAATGCATGCAATCTCAACCAACCTGAGTGACAAAGAAGATGGTTTACTTGGTCTCTGCACAGAACAAGTCTTGTTCCTATGAAGCGCCAGACTCTCGCACGAGAAACGGCAGGCCCTTACGTGAAAAAGCCTACATCAGTTCATGAAGAGTTTGAGGAATGACTGAGAGAAATGGAGAGAAGTGCAGAGTAGAGAGATGAAGATTGACTATCGTTGACCGTTGCAATCTTTTCCATCTAATTAGGAATGAGCTCGAGGGAAGTAGGTTTGAGATAATTAAGTAGCCCGATGAAACACCGATTCATTTTCAGCAACTTTGTCCTGAGCGATAGCCAGAACATTTATGATACCCAGTTCAACTGGCCATCATTGACGTTAGACAAGACAACTCCTGTTTCATCCAAGCAGCTAGTTCCAATTTATAACAGTGCTCCATCTAAAATGGTAGTTTCATGAGAAATAATTTATCTCAAGAGTATAATGGTTCCGGTTTAATTGGGCTGCTCTCATCGTCTTTTAGGGATGGAGGTTTAGCGTTGGTTTTAGAGTTTTCGAAACCCCTGGTTGCAGTATGGGAGAGTGAACATATTCCCACTGAATGGGGAGTCTACCATCTTGCCAATTTTCAAGAAAGATGATAGATCCTGTTGTCATAACTACAGAGGAATTAGTTTGATCAACAGTGTCTGTAAAATTCTCCTTGACAGCGTAATCTGCCGGTTTCCTGCAGCACGTGAACAGTGCACACGTGAAAACCAGTCTCGTTTAAGACGAGCTTGAGGTTGTATAGACCACAACTTCGCTTTGCGCCAATTTTTAAAGCACCGACATTCTTTACTTAGGGTCACGATCTCCGTTTTGCTTGATCTAAAATCGGCCTCCTACCGCTTTAAACTTTGTCGCTGCATTTCTCTAAATGGTTTGCTCGAGAAGTTTGCTTCAGTGTTACGGTCCCTCTTTACTAATAGCCGGAACCGAGTTCAAATTTACGGCACTTTTTCGCCAAAGTTCACTGCAGAAAAGCGTTGTTAGTCAGAGTTACCATCTCTCTCCTTTTCTATGTAATTTCATCATAGTAATCACAGTAACTGCTGAGCTAATAGAGCAGGTGGGTAAATTCTGCCATTTAGACAGCTTTATCTTGTATCTCGGATAGAGTCTTGGCTCGCATATGGAGGGTTGGATTGTTATTTGCCAAATTGGAACTTCTATGGCGCCGTCGCGATATTCGGATGTCTGTGAAGAAGTTCAGCCGGTGCTGCTATACGACGCAGTGACTTGGCCATTAGTTAACAGGAAAAGATCAGTTGTCAGTATTCGAACACCGCTGCCTGTACCGCATTGCACGAATCTAGTGGGGTAACCGGACAAGTAATGCTGAATTTGGGCACAGAGTTGTACGTGGTCTCGGTCGCCTAGTGGCGCAAAGGATTGACTTTATTGATTGCCCTGGTTCGGTCTTGTGCTACGCATGTCACCAAAGAGCTTGCCATGGAGCACGATGTTTGCCGAAGCAAGTAGCGGATGAAAAAAGCCATGAATGATCAAACAGACCCAGCATAATAGAATGAAAAACCTGACCAGGAGACATGCCCGCATAGGTCGCGTTGGGCTTCCTGAATGGGAACTCCGGGATGATGGTGATCGATGGTTTGGGGCACTGAAGGATTTGGCTGATTGTCTTAAGAAGTGGTGCTCTGTGGTGCGCTCTGAACTTCGATAATATTCTCTATTTTCAACCTTAAACTGTCTCAGAAATTCCACTCTTCATTTTACCTCTTCATTCAAATGGGCAACCAAGAAGCAGAAATCCAAGCGCAGACTCCACCGATGCATCTAGGCAACTTATGCTCTACTAGTTGAGCTATGAATCCACACCTACGGATTTAATCCTTGACCATATGGTAAAACCCCAATCTACAGTGGTATATAAGCATATCAGACATCCTCCAGTGATTCTAGGTAAAAATGTCTTACGTGGAAGCTTCAAATTTGTCAATCAGCCAAGTGAATGAAGTAACCCACTCACCAAGTATGCATTAAAAAAGAACCGAAGATTTCGAGAACATATCCAGGGGAAGAGTTAACGGAACGAACTAAATAGTTTAATGCATGGCTGTCTTGTAATTGAATGTATTATATTGTATTGTACTGAAGTTCTAACGAGCTATATACAAGCTTAAAATCAAAAAAGACCGCCGTCACAATAATGACACAAGGGGGGTGGAAGTGGGACACGAAGTGTGCAAAAATGTGAAATAACCACTAAATGCAATAGAAAGCTCAGAACAAACACTCTCCTTGTCGTTCAGTGTCCAGGAAAAATAGGGTACCAAAGAGTTGTTGCATGAAGATATCCGAGATTGGATGAGTTTATTTGGAAAGAATGTAGGG